TACTCTTAATTGCCGTGAGGCTAAATACAAACGGGCTTGAGCTGGCGCTACCAGCGCACTTGATAGAAGCATCGTTTTATCAATTAAGAAAATTAAGACGTTAGGCAGATGCGACGTCATGGGTTGGAGTCTTCCTGGTTTTAAAATGCAGGTCAACTAGGGGAGGTATGGAAGATTTGGTTGCGTTCAGTGTTGCCCTTAAGCCGTCTTGGCACCAGCTCTTATACCTCAGGTTAAGTACTTAATTCGTTCCGGAGGTCCGTTCTTAACCTGAAACTGTTCTTAACCTGAAGCACCACTTTAGCTAATGGGGCCTCCTGCTGCTGCCGTGCCGCCGGAGCCCAATTTCTGTTCTTATCCTGAAGCAAAGTTCTTAACCTGAAGCACTATTTCTGGGTTAGTGGAGTGTGTAACCTGAAGCGTATGTAACCCGAAGTACCACTGAATTCCTGCAGTAGGTCCCAGTTTAAACCATTACCTCCCTAAAGCTCAGCACTGGCACCCCACAGGGATATGTGTACCTGTACTCATTGTATACATACGACTGTTTTTCATCTGATCCACCCACTGTAATTATTAAGTTTGCAGATGATACTACCATAATGGATCTAATTACAGGTGGAGATGAATCAGCGTACAGGGAGGAGGTTCAAAAAGTATCTACATGGTGCTTAGAGAATAACTTGCACCTAAATATTAGCAAGACAAAGGAGATGGTGTTGGAATTTCGGAGGAAGAGAGGGGATATACTTGTTGTATATCAGAGGGGTTGTGTGGAGAGAGTCTCTTCCTTTAAATTCCTGGGAGTTTACCTTAGTGAAGACCTCACTTGGAAAAACAATATAACTCAGGTGGTTAGGAAGGCCCAGCAGAGACTCCATTTTCTCAGGGTCTTGCGAAAGAACAATGTCAAACAACAATTGATGACCTCCTTCTACCGGTCCACAATAGAAAGTGTCCTCTCATGTTGTATCACACTGTGGTACGTTGGCTTGAAAGCCACGGACAGAAATTCTTTACAGAGGGTGGTGAACACAGCACATGATATCATGTCCCCGGAGGCCGCTAGATGACATCGCAAGGGATCGTTCTCAGGGGCGATTCACACCCCGGCCAGCACCTCTTTAATCTTCTACCCTCAGGCAGGAGATATGTTCTATCCATGAGCTGTTAGGTTGCTGAATGGAAAATAATATAGTGCAACTGACTTTCGAGGTTGATGTGTTGTGCAACAAGCACACAGAGTACAATGAGATTGAGTGTTTGGTGGGGGGGGGGAAGGCTCTGTTAATTTCATTGTACACAGGTATATTATAAAGGTTTATTATTATTATTATTATTATTATTATTATTATTATTATTATTATTATACTGCCCTGTACCCGCAGATCTCAGGGCAGTTATAACATAAAATCACAATCTAAAAACACAAAATGCATAATAAAAACAAAAGTAACCCAATAGCCCCCTCCCCAACACATTCTAAAAGGGCACTGGATGTCTAATCAGCCAAAGGCCTGGTTAAAGAGAAATGTTTTTTGCCTGGTGCCTAAAAGTGTATAATGAAGGCTTCAGGCTAACAATTGGGCTCTCCAGGAAGAATTGGGGAGTGGGATGCAGAACTACCCACTGCCTCCCCCTCTTTCAAACTTTCTTCATGGTTTAGCCCCACCACTTTGCCCCAGTGTGCCTGCGTGGTGTAGTGGTTAAGAGCAGTGAACTCGTAATGTGGTGAACTGGGTTCGATTCCTCGCTCCTCCACATGCAGCTGCTGGGTGACCTTGGGCTAGTCACACTTCTCTGAAGTCTCTCAGCCCCACTCACCTCACAGAGTGTTTGTTGTGGGGGAGGAAGGGAAGGAGAATGTTAGCCACTTTGAGACTCCTTAGGATAGTGATAAAGCTCCTTAGGGTGGTGATATCAAATCCAAACTCTTCTTCTTCTTCTTTTCCCAGCTGCCTATTAACCTGGGAACTGCAACTGCCACCTGTAACTCCACTTTCCCCTTCCTACTGCAGACCCTGCCTTCTCTGTTCCCATGCTTTATTTTCTATCAGCGGTTCTGGGAAGCAATAGAAATTGCCCATAGCATGATGTTGCGCTTCCCAGGTATCCAGGTCCGAGCACCTATCTGCCTTCACAGAACATAACAATCGCCCTTCGTGGGTTGTTTTTTTTTGAGCGGCAGAATCTTGTTTCAGCACTGTGGAGCCAAACCAGGGACTTTGTGAAAGTTTTCACCATAGAACATTAAGCATTTGGTGAATACGTGAATATTCAGGCAGATTCTTGCCAAGAAGCAGCTGTTATCTCATGTCTACAGCGCTGAAAATCGGTGGGGGAGAAATACAGCGTGGAATGCAATTTCCCCCGCTTACTTTGGATATCGGATGTACTTTTCAAATGCTTGCGTGTTATTTTATATGGTGTGCTCCATAGCTATCTTTCTGTGTACTTTTTTTTGATGAGGGATACTTAGAAGGGTACATCTTCCAAACGGCCTCAGCCCAGTATACCTGAAGGAGCATATCCCCATCATTCAGCCTGGACACTGAGGTCCTCTTCTGAGGGTCTTCTGGTTGTTCCCTCACCACAAGAATTGAGGTTACAGGGAACCAGGCAGAGGGCCTTCTCGGTGGTGGTGCCCGCCCTGTGGAATGCCCTCCCATCAGATGTCAAGGAAATAAACAACTATCTGACTTTTACAAGACATCTGAAGGCAGCCCTGATTAGGGAAGTTTTTAATGTTTGATGTTTTATTGTATTTTTAATATTTTATTGGAAACAGCCCAGAGTGGCTGGGGAAACCCAGCCAGATGGGTCGGGTATAAATAATAAATTCTTCTTCTTCTTCTTCTTCTTCTTCTTCTTCTTCTTCTTCTTCTTCTTCTTCTTCTTGCCATAGCTGCAAAGGAAGATTCTTCTTTGAGTTCAATCTGAGATGCAAAGGAAAAACCTTATTGCCTTTTACTGCAAAAGAGCAGGCCACATTTTTCTCTTCTGCAATCTTAGCTCTGTGGCGCTTTTCGCACTAAGATTAAATACAATTTAAGCTGTTGACAGACGCTAAGGAAAGAGGCGGTTTTGCCCTGCCAGATCTAAAACTCTATTACGAGGCGTCCTGTCTTTGCTGGCTAAAGGAGTGGATAAAACTAAAGAATAATAAATTGTTAGATCTAGAGGGCCATGATAATAGATCAGGATGGCACGCCTATTTGTGGCGGGAGAAGAAGAAAACCCACCAAGGTTTCACCAATCATGTCATCAGGGGCTCTATAATAGAGGTTTGGGACAGGTACAAAAATATTCTGGAATTTAAAACTCCGCATTGGTTGTCACCACTAGAGGTAATGTCAGTAAAAAAAACGAATATGAGACCAAATTGGATAACTTATGGTGAATTGGTAGTGAAAGTGGGGGAGAAATGGAAATTTAAGCCATATGAACAAGTGAAGGATCAGGTCTATGATTGGCTACACTATTTCCAGGCAAATGCAATGTTTAACAAAGATCTCAAAGAAAGGGGATATATAGAAAAAGCGTCTAAATTCCAATCAGATATAATTGATAATGATGTTAAGATAATTTCGAAAATGTACAAAATACTTTTGGAATGGCAAACAAAGGACGAGGAAATCAAGTCGGTCATGATTAAGTGGGCCAGAGATTTTGGTTACAGCATACAACTAGAGGATTGGGAAAAGGTATGGAACGAAAATATGAAATTCACTGCATGTACAGCACTGAAGGAAAATATAATGAAGATGGTGTACAGGTGGTACATCACACCGGCAAAACTGTCAAAAATGTACAAGACATGTAACAAGTGCTGGAAATGCAAAGAAAAAGAGGGATCTCTCTTCCACATGTGGTGGGATTGTAGGAAGGTGAGGGGTTTCTGGGAATCGATTTATTGTGAATTGAAAAAGATGTTTAAATATTTGTTTGTTAAGAAGCCAGAGTCCTTCCTATTAGGTATAACAGGAAGAGAGATAAAAAGACAGGACTATAAATTGTTCCAATATGCTGTGACAGCGGCACGAATACTGATGGCCCAGAGGTGGAGACAGGAGGAAATGCCGACTCTGAGCGAATGGAGGATGAAACTTATAGATTACGCCGAATTAGACAAATTGACTGGAAGAATAAGATATCAAAAGGATCAAAAATTCATTGAGGACTGGGGGAAGTTTGCGGCATATCTGGAAACTATATGTGATCAACAAACAACGCTAGTGGGGTTTAAAGAGACTTTGTAATACTGTAAGGAATATTGCAAGACAGAATTAGAGAGGTGTAAACTAATAGTAAGCTAGCAATATTATATAGGAAAATGCGAGGAAATAAGAACAATGGATGATTGTGGGAGGTGCTGGTGGAGGCTCCAAAAGTGTAAATATGTAATTATGTTGTAACCAATATAAGTAAAAGAAAAACTGAATAAAAATCTAATTGCAAAAAAAAAAAAAAAAAAAAAAGATTGGAGATAAGCGCCTGCCTCCTCTTAGACCACAAGTGGCAGCAGGCAGAGGTTTGTCTCAAATCTCAGTGCTAAGCACCACAGCACTAAGACCAGGGACAAGAGAGCCTTTATCTCAGATCTTAGCACTTAGATGGGAAATGACCGCTCTCTGGGGTTCCCCACAGCTGCTGTGTTTTCAAAATAAGACAACCTGTAATCTGATTGGTAAAATTCTGACAAGGCTGCTGCTGTATCTCTTATTTTTTTATCTGAAAGTTTTGAATCAGCCCTTGATTCAACTGAGTCTCATAAGAGGAGACTTCAAGGTTCAGACAGACAACGCATAATACTTTTAATTTGGGGTCATGCAACGTTTTAAATCATGTTATTATTATTATTATTATTATTATTATTATTCCTCTTCTAGCAAGCCAATAAAGATACACCCACACACATATGAAATACATACTCATTTTGTTTTTGTGAATTGGAGATGCTATGCTTACCTTACTGCTTTTGTTTGTTTGGCTTGTTGCAGAACAGAAGAGTCACCACCACCTCCGCAACCCCAAAAGCACAGACACAAGCCAACGGAACAGGTACTTTTTGACTTATTACTAGCTCTCTAGGGACAATGTTGGAAACTCAGATATAATCTAATTGCCAATGGCTCCTTAAAACTAGGTTCCGGTCATCACGATGGAACGTCTGGGCACTGGGTTGTTCTTGTTGTTTGCAGTGGGATATCATCATCATCATTTATATACGGCTTTATATTTTAAAGGGGGGGTTGATGAGAGAATCTCAAAATGGTTTTAAAAAGGTAAAGGGACCCCTGACCGTTAAGTCCAGTCACGGATGACTCTGGGGTTGCAGCGCTCATCTCGCTTTACTGGCCAAGGGAGCCGCCGTTTGTCCGCAAACAGTTTTTCCGGGTCATGTGGCCAGCATGACTAAACCGCTTCTGGCGAAACCAGAGTAGCGCACGGAAACGCCATTTACCTTCCCGCCTGAGCAGTACCTATTTATCTACTTGCACTGGCGTGCTTTCGAACTGCTGGGTTGGCAGGAGCAGGGACTGAGCAACGGAAGCTCACCCCGTTGTGGGGATTCAAACCGCGGCCTTCCGATCAGCAAGACCAAGAAGCTCAGTGGTTTAGACCACAGCGCCACCCACACCGGTTTACAGCACATTAGAACATCAATTGAAACAATCCAGAATTTCAGATCCTTCTGCAAGTGACATTTTGCTTTCCCCAGTCGCCAAACTTGCATCCAGAGATCTCCATGTGGTCGCAATTGGATAAGTGCCAGTCGTGAAACGCGCCTGGCACCTGGCTAATTTCTAACAAAACGCATTAGGCACCTGGCTTAGGGATTTTGGTCAGGTTTTCACCTGAGCCAGAGGAACGTGTGTGAGAGAAAGGCCTAGAGAGATTGGCCAGAGGAGAGAGAGAGAGTGTGTGTGTATATGTGTATAACCTTCGAGAAGATATTTTTAGTGCAGGAGTGAGCCAGTTCTGTGTCTCCCCACTCCACAGGCCAACTTTGACAGGTGGGTGGGAGCACTCACCTTGTCAGTCACCTGCAAAATGGTGACAGCAGGTGACTACCCACCTGCCAAAGTTGACCCCACTTGGTGGGGAGAGGAGTCTGCTTTGCCAACATGTTCCCTGCAGGCAACTCTGCACCAGGCAGGATTGAAACCCGCCACGCCTGGCGCATCAGCTGATGTTGCCCTGTGACACCAGCTGATCACCAGACATGTGAGATGTGGGAGCAATGGCCCTTTGGGCCAAAACGGCACCCGTTTGCCATTTTGTAGTGCACCAGAGTTGGTCTGTGGGCTAGAGGTTCCCAACCTCTGATGTGGCAGAAAATGTACCGTATTTTTCGCTCTATAAGATGCACCAGACCATAAGACGCACCTAGTTTTTGGAGGAGGAAAACAAGAAAAAAAAAATTCTGAATCCCAGAAGCCAGAACAGCAAGAGGGATCGCTGCGCAGCAAAAGCAGTGATCCCTCTTGCTGTTCTGGCTTCTGGGATAGCTGCACAGCCTGCATTCGCCCCATAAGACGCACACACATTTCTCCTTACTGTTTAGGAGGGAAAAAGTGAGTCTTATAGAGCAAAAAATACGGTAATTCTCTCTGTTTGCAGATACTGTTCTGTGAGTTCCATGCTACTAGATGGCACACTTTGTTGGCTGGCTTTAGACAGTTGTTGAAGAATAGGTTCCACAAATGATCTTTGGAAAACGGGGAGATCCATTATCTTTGCAAAGTATAAGTACATCAGAGTACCTCCCACACCCCAAATTCCTGAGATTTATTACGTACTGCTGTTGGGATTGATGGATGAGTTATTGCTTCAAGTTCCCCCCCTCTAAATTAGCTGTAGTGCAAAGCTGTTTAAATTCCTATCTTGCGCTCTTTCCTGTGATTCTCTTTTTACAGCTGCTCCCTCCCCCCCTTATCTTTTAATGTGTTATTCTCTCTAGAACTTGCTTTCTCTGTAAACACTAGTTATGCAAGCCTTAAGAAATATGTTCCCACTGCTTTTTGGAACAAAACCCTTTCCCCTGCCTACTGTGCTCTCTAAAATCAAATTTGAAAGCATAGGAAAAAATAGATTGCATCTGAAACTTTTAAGAGGTGGCTTGCTTTGGTGTGATGAAGGTGAAAACATTCTTTGCAGCTTCAACTTTACGGCTTAAATTTGATATGCATTGAAATAAAAGCGAAAACAAGATATTTCATACCATGGATTCATGTTTGTTTTGACTGCTTCGTTGTGCGTTGTGCCATCCGGAGGTTCAGTTCAGACATCACACCAAACCATGGTTAAGGAAATCAAATCATGGTTTCTCATGGTGTTTACACTGACAAATTCTGGGTCAGAACAACGTTTTGTGAGCTGCAGTTTATGGTAACAGTTGAGAAGTTGTTTTCATAGTCGTAACTTTGACTTCGGAAACTGCTGTGCCGTGCAGATGGGAGTGAAACTTACAAAGCTCTGTGCTGAAAAGACACACCACCCTAAACCATTTGGGTTTCAGTTCTAAAAGCTATCACAAACAGTGGTTTCTCCTGAAATCTGTATTGACCCTGCTAGGCATGCCTGCAAAGCAAGATGCTCTCTCCCAGTTTACCAATGTGCTTTCATATAATACGCTGCCTTGTGGCCTTTTTTCATTGGGGCTGTAAATGGAACTGTATTAGAGAAATCCCCATGGCATCGTACTCTGCATTTGTGCCTCTTTTGCATTCTGGCGAACCTAACTCATCGATAGGTTTAGAGGCATATTTTTAGGCTTGCCTTCAGGATCACAGAAGGGTCAAGTCTCGAAACTGTGGCAAGATGCCAGGATCCGAGGCTGGTAGGGCACAATATGGCCAACTATTTGGCTACCGCTGTAGGCTATGGGACAGGTTCCTCATTGAAAACTGCCCCCAGGCTATTGCTACTGATGAGTCTCTAGGGTTCAGGTGGATAGATAAATAGACTGTAGGTTTTTTTAAATTTACATCAAAATGCCATACACATTCACATATCGAGATTGCTCTGAATCGCCTGACTTTCCCCCATCCCATCCATGCGATCTCTTACTTTCATCTGCATAACAGTACTTCTCCAAAGTTTCCATCATCCTAAATTATCTGTAGTTTCTATTACATTACAGGTGTATTTAGGCTCCTGCTAATGTTTTAAACTGCTTACATTGATTCTGTATATACCATATTTTTCCGTGTATAAGATGACCCCTATTTTTTTTTAACCCAAAATTAAGTTGTTTAGCTTTTGGGGGGATGGGGGAGGTCACTTCAACCAATCGTTCACTCTCCAGCACTCTACTGCCAGTCGCTTGCGACAGGCACTGCCGACCACACACCTCACCACAGCCGCCAATTGTCTGCCCGCTTGCCACCACAAACAGCCCACCCGCCCACTTGCCGCAGCCGCCAATCACCTGCCTGCCTCGTCTGCCCAATTGCCACAGCCAATCGCCAGCAGGCCTTGCCGCAGCCACCAATCACCCGCCCAATTGCCGCTGCCAATCTCCTGCTTGCTGCCGCCATTAATCACACGTCCGCCCTGTGCATTCACTATCCATGTATAGGACGACACCCCTTTTTTGCCTAATTTTTTAAAACAAAAAGCACTGTCTTATACACGGAAAAATGCGGTATATTATAAGCATTTCCCATTCTTTTTAAATTTCTCGTCTTCTTGGTTCCTGAGCTTCCCAGTTAATTTTGCCATTTCGGCATAGTCCATCAACTTGATCTGCCAATCTTCTTTGGACTGTGTGTGTGTGTGAATGCATTCAGCCATGGGTGGGACCAGTTGATCATGAGAGATCATGTGACCAGACCTTCCATCGATGGAAGAGTTCAATCCCTAGAGCAGGGATGGGGAATCTGTAGCGGGGCCCCCATATCTTATTGGACTACAACTCCCTTTATCCATGACCATTGACCATGCAGGTTGGGGCTGATGGGAGTTGGGACTGATGGGAATTGTAGTCCAGCAATACCTTGAGTTCACCCCACTGGCTACCCCATTGGCTCTAGGGCATCGTATCACGGTGAAGACCTGTTAATACAGTCGCTTTAGCTTGCACATGTTGTACTCAACTGACCTCTTAGAACTAAAACGTTGTTTTTTTATCGCCAGATAAACGCAGCAACATGATGTGTTCACGGGTTCAAAAGTGGGTCTATGACAAATTTGGGGAATATATTGAAGACTTCAGGTTTCAGCCCGAAGAAAACACAGTTGAAACAGAAGAACCACTTAGTGCTAGAAGGTAAGTCACACAGGAATATCAGGCTTTTTATAAAAAAAAAATATTTGAATGATACAGTCTGCTAAAAAAGCACATTAGTAGGGACAATTGCTAAAGGGTTAGAGCCTGCTTCCACTCTGGGAATTAACTGTGGAGTAGCCGTGATTCATTCACTCAACCTTTATGGGGCATCTGCACAAAATTGAGAAGAAAGTATTGCCCTCTCATGTTTTCTCTATTCTGCTGTTTTTAAGAGCTCGGGAAATCCAACTTTGGGGTGGGAGTGGGGAACACTCAGTCGGATAGCTGTGAAACTTACCTCGGTGACTTATTTCAATGATTTTCTAGCGTGTATAAATTGCTCTAGCCATTTTATTTTTTAAAATATATATATTTTTAAAATTTATATTCTGCCCTTCATCTGAGGATCACAGGGTGCTTTACAGTAAAAAAAGTCACCAAAAATCATAATAACAAGCAAACAAAAATTAAAAGCCCCACAGTTCAAAAAGTCCATAGATTGCTTCAGTGGCCTGGGAGAAGAGGAATGTTTTTGCGTGGCACCTAAAGACGCCAGGTGAGCCTCATTCAACAAGCGGGGAGCTACCGCAGAATAGGACCGTCTTTGTGTTATTTCTATTTATTAAATGTGTATACTGCCCTATACCAATAGTTTTCAGGGTGGGTCGCAACCCTCCAGACTTCTTGCGAAGGAGGCGCACGAGAAAGGACCTCAGGTGGTGATTGCAGGGTCTGAGCTGGTTCATTTGGGGAGAGGCTGGTCCTTAAGGTATTGCGGTCCTGATCCGTTTTATAGGTTAAAACCAGCACTTTGCATTGGGCCCAGAAACTAATTGGTGGCCAGTGCGGTCGGACCGGGTTTGGTGTAATATGCTGTATTGTTTTTAACACTCAATTGGGAGCTGCCCAGAGCAGCTGGGGAAACTCAGCCAGATGGGCGGGGTATAAATAATAATTTATTATTATTATTATTATTATTATTATTATTATTATTATTATTATTATTAGAACAAGCCTTTTCTGTGGTGGCTCCTTGCTTGTGGAATTCTCTCCCCAGGGAGACTTGCCTGGCACATTCATTGCATGTCTTTAGGCACCAGGCCAGAACATTTCTTTTTAACCAGCCTTTTGACTGATTAGCATTCTATGTCCTTTTTTAACGTGTTTGTGGAAGGAGGGTTTTTGGTTTTTGATTTCCTTCTTTTTTAATGTATTTTGTGTTCTCATTTTGTAGTTTTATGTTGTGAACTGCTCTGTGATTTTCAGGTGAAGGGCGGCATTGAAATTGGATAAAAATATACATGCCGAAGTTCTGACACACACAATTTTTGAATAATCTGTGTGGAATATGGGGTAGTAACAGAAATATGTTTGTCCTTCAAAGATAACATAGCATATGATCTACTATTCATTTTCCAGGCTCACAGAAAATATGAGACGATTAAGTAAGTATCTAATGTTGCTCTTATGTGTAAATATATGGTATTTGTATATAAAATACAAACAGTGTTGAGAAATATTTAAGTGGATCTTGTAGCAATAAAATCCATATAATTTGTTACCTCAGTGTCACATATAACATGGAATTAGATAAAGTATATTATTAATATTCAAAGTTACAGAAATCTAAAATGTAAAAAGTGTGATGTGACAACTGTGAATATTCATTTTTTGCAGTGTATCTATTCACAGGATTAATTAATTGTCTAATTTGAAATAGCTCTCCAGCTAATCCCTAGAACTCAACGTTTTCCCAATAGTAGCTTATTGTTGTGCTCTGTTGAACAGAAATAGAAGCTTGAACTCTCTTGAATATATTTATCTGACAAGTAGAGTGATAATTGGACTCATAGGCCAAATTCAGACGTCATGCTTTTGGGTTAGTGAACCATGGTTTATCCTAGCTTGTAAGGAGCTATTAAACCACAGTTTCATGGTGTGGCTGTCATGGGAAACTGAGTTAAGAAGTGAGGATAGGCGCACCAAACCTAGTCATGCAACAAGAGCTGAGGGGCCTGGTGAAGAGGGAGCAGCAATCTTGTTCTGATTTATTCTGCCCAACGAGTCTTAACTATGGAACAAAGTTTAATTAATCAAGTGTTCCATCGTTAAATAATTCTGTTACTGTTTGCCAAGCCATTAAGACTCCTTCTGCAGAATCAGTTTATTTTTCGATTCCAAAATGATCACGCTGAGTTGATTTCTGTGCTGGCTTCAGTCTAGTTTTATAAAGCTCCTTATTGGGAAAATGGAGCTGGGCCAGTTCTGCAAGTCAAATGTTTGTGGGGTTGTTGTTTGTTTTTTTAGTATATGAGAATTAGAGTTGCTTAAGATTAATCTGAAATTCCGCAGGCCCCACACGGAGGCATCTCACGCCACAAGAATGGCCAGAATGCAACCTTTGCCCTTGTTTGTAATCTCCCCTTTTAATACAGGCATGGAGATGAAATTGGACTGACCAGGATGTGTGGTTGCAGTCCTGCCCATATTTTGAACTGCCTTTGACCTCTTGCAAAACGATATTTTGCTACTGTCCCATTCCTTTCCTAAATTACGGTGCAGTCTGAAGGCACGTGGGTGGCGCTGTGGGTTAAACCACAGAGCCTAGGACTTGCCAATCTGAAGGTTGGCGGTTCAAATCCCTGCGACGGGGTGAGCTCCTGTTGCTCAGTCTCTGCTCCTGCCAACCTAGCAGTTCGAAAGCATGTCAAAGTGCAAGTAGATAAATAGGTACCGCTCTGGCGGGAAGGTAAACGGCGTTTCCGTGTGCTGCTCTGGTTCGCCAGAAGCGGCTTAGTCATGCTGGCCACATGACCCAGAAGCCGTACGCTGGCTCCCTTGGCCAATAAAGCGAGAGGAGCGCCGCAACCCCAGAGTCGGTCACGACTGGACCTAATGGTCAGGGGTCCCTTTACCTTTACCTTACCTGAAGGCAGCTTCATATGGGCAGATTCATCTCTGGAGAACACGAAGGTGTGATTTGCATGTAGGAAACAGATAAAAAAGGCCACACGGCCTTATTTCACCTCGAGCGCGATCCTTCCCAGGGAGCCTGTTTGCGTATACAGCAGCTGCTCACAGAGCGATAACTCGAGTGATGCTGATGCGTGTGTTGATCAGCTCTTAGCTTCCTGAATTCCTAGAAACCGCGAGATGCCATGCCTAAATAAGGACTATGGGAGAGTGTGTTTAATAATAAGATACACCGCTTATCTGCGGAAACATTCTAAGTCAATGACACACATCGCTTCTGCTTGTAATCGCAAGGGAAAGGGATGTTGAAAAGTTCAGGCAACTATTAGGCCCAATGTGGGTGGTCTCCTCTCCCCTTTCCAATTCAAAGTATTATGTCTTTGGAAGCATTGCTGTCTGCTTAGAGTATGTTATTTTCTCTTCTGCCTAGAGAGAGGTGCCAAACCCGTCACAAATTTTGTGAAGAATCTTTCTGCCTTATCAGACTGGTATTCTATCTATACTTCTGCTATTGCCTTTATTGTAAGTTGTCCTTTCTCGTTCAGGTGAACTTACAGACACGAACTTCGCTCAGTTTATTGGGGGAGGCGGGGAAGCAACTCTACTCAATTCTAAATGTTAAAGCTGGCTTGATAAATATGAATCCTATAAGTCAACAACACTCGCAGGGCTGGGAAGAATGAGATACACAAATCAGCATTACAGTGTCGTTTGTTGTGACACCAAGCGTGCCTGTTGGAGTGTCGGTTGTGTAGAGTTGCAAAAGTTTCACTGTTTGTCAGCGCTTGCCAATTTTTCAAAGATACACTGATTTTACCTGTTTGCTGTTCTGGTTCATTCGTAGTGTCTAGTTTTCCAGATTACTGGAACAACATCTCTTAACATCCGTTAAAGGAACACGATGGGGCTGATAATATAGAGAGAGCAGATTGTCTTCCACTTTAACAAAGAGCTTTTATGGAGAATAGCACCTGGGCTGGTTTACCCTGTTTCAAATATACTTTAAATGTGGGTTTAGGAATATGGATTGGCATGGTGTTAAGAGTTTGCACGGTCGTATTGGGTCTCCGTTGTGCCTCTTGATAGAATAATGTGTCTCTCCCCTCAAAACAAAACAGAAATACTACCCTGCTTCTAGAAGCCTAACATATCTGGGAGAGTATTTCAAGGGTAGCTGCCTCTTATACATACCAGTTTTATGCAACTAGTTTTAATCTGCAATTCTCACTTGCACGCCATTGTTCAAGCAAAGCCGAATTGCACAATTTTTGTGCAGAATTCTTATGTAACCACAGACTTCAGAATATACTGAGAATATTAGTTCAGTGAAGCAATGGAGATTTTGAGATGATAAATTGTTGCATAGGGAATGGCGTTTTATGATAATGAGCAGCCGTTCGGGGCCTGCTTGTGAGGAGAGCTTGTTGCCGTGGGAGCTGAAAGAATGTCAGAAACCTGCATTTTCTTCAAGGGGAATTAATTACAGAATGGGGAAAAGCAGGAATGTCACTTCGTAGGGTCAGTATAATACCCATGGGGGGCGGCTTCCAAGTGAAAATGGTTGGCCATCTGCATGATTTCAGAGAGTTGATGCCAGTTCAAAAGTATAAATGGATTTGATGGAAACCTGTAGCCTTTCAGACTCCAGCTGAACCCCAACCTGGGATGAATGGAATTAGGGCTCTGCAGATTCTACTGCACTACAAGTTCCCAATCTCTCCTATACATGTTTACCTGGGAGTAAACCCCATTGAACATAGCTGGACTCATTTCCAGGTAAATATGCATAAAACTTCAATGTAAGAGAGTCTGATTCATCTCAAATCAATACAGATGTCCTGGGAGATTGTTTTCAGCATGGGTATTGCATGAAAGCATCCTTATTATTTCCTTTGTAATTCTTTATTTCTTCTTCTGACTATAGATCTACATGAATGCTGTATGGCATGGCTGGGCCATTCCTATGTTCTTATTTTTAGCAATTTTGAGGTTATCCCTAAATTACCTCATAGCCAGGTAATCTCTCAGCTTTCTTCTGTATTGAGGTTTCAGTTTGTCACTTGTTTTGGGACTACGATTCCCATCATCCCTGACCACTGGTCCTTCTGATGATGGGAGTTGTAGTCCAAAAACAGCTGGAAACCCAAGTTTGGGAAACGCTGGATTAGATGCTCCTTGTGGTCCCTTCCAACTCGTATGATTCTGTGGTTCTATATCATCTGCCAGACTTCCTAGGGAGAAGCAATTTGCCACAACTGCAGCTCCTCTACAGGTTGTAGCAGAGGGAAGGGAACTCTACCGAACGTTGATTTTGGAGACAAGTCAACAACCCCACCCAGAACATTATTCTTAAAGCAGGAAAAGTGACGATGCAAATCTACTCATTTCAAAGTTCTGTTACCCATGGTAACTGAACATGACAGTTTCTGCCTGTGTGCCATCAGATTCTTACATCAATGCAGGTATAAAAAACTTGTGCTGGAACTGAAATTGCTTCAGCTCCAGCAAGCACATTTCATCCTGTTCGCTGAGTCCCTGAAGCCCTCTTCACACGTTTGTTGTGCCCCATGGCTGCTGTCTCCACCTCCATTTTTGCATGTCTTCTCCACTTGTGGAGAAGGTGGATGTCTGCAGAAAGGAACCTCTTGCAGGGTTCCCAGTTCCATGTGGACGTTCAGGACCTAGCATTGTGCTCCTGATGAAACCCCCCTCCTGTGAAGTGGGCTAGTTTTATTTGCATGCAGGAAGGCGAAAATGCCAAGTATCATATTTTTTTTGTTAACAACCAGCAGAATGCTAATCCCTAATTAAAAAGCCAAATGCAGTAATCTACACAGAATGGATATTATTTGTGTAGGAACGTTCTTGCAATGCCATAATTACTGCCGATTGTCAAAGGATTGATGAGTGTGGGTGTTGTTTTTTTTAATGTTAATTATGGCTTTGTGTAGTTGATAGGGTGTTTGGTTGGTTAAGAACAAACATAAGCATTATTTACATACTTGTAATCTATGGCAGTCTTTTGAATATTCAAGGCCATATGATTCTGGGAGGCTACATGACACAAACTGGGTGGTTGCATTTGGGGGAAATAATTAAAATAGATCTGAAAAGATGTTGTCTGCTACCCACACGAGTTGCTTTTTTTAAGCATTACTTTTACTCTGTTCACTGAGCCTTATGGAAAAGCTAGTCTGTTTAATTAAAGTATTTTTATTTTATTTTATTTTTAGAGGGTGGAGAATACAGTGGAGTATTGTGCCTGAAGTTTCTGAGCCCATTGTAAGTCCAAATAATTCTGAGATACGTTTTATCTATTTTGCTCATTGTAATAATTGACTCTACCAGCTTTTTATGATTAGTATTCAGGGATGTTGCGCCACAAACTTCCTTTACTGCTTTTCATTGAAAACTCAAATATTGCTCTTAGCAACACACCATTGAAGGCATAGAGTCATGAGAAAATGGCTCTTAGAGTGAGCGCTCAGGGTGCGAACGTGATCCATGCGGGATGCATGTTCGCAACCCACAGCGTCTGCAACCTGCAGTGGCGCGTTTGCGATTTGGCGCCTCTGCGCATGCGCGAAGCGTGATTTAGCGCTTGTGTGCATGCGTAACTGCCGAAACCCGGAAGTAACCCGTTCCAGTACTTCCGGATTTCGGCAGTCTGCAACCCAGAAAAACGCAACCTGAAGTGTCTGTAACCTGAGGTATGACTGTACAGTTGTACCTTGGGTTACATACGCTTCAGGTTACAAACTCTGCTAATCCAGAAATAGTGCTTCAGGTTAAGAACTTTGCTTCAGGATGAGAACAGAAATTGTGCTCCGGCGGCGCAGCAGCAGGAGGCCTCATTAGCTAAAGTGGTGCTTCAGGTTAAGAATAGTTTCAGGTTAAGAATGGACCTCTGGAACAAATTAAGTACTTAACCTGAGGTACCACTATATATAGTTTTCCAGAACTGCTTTACTCTGAAAGTCTGTAACTGGGGAGGTTAATTCCCCTGAGGCATCTCTCCAAGCAAACTTTGCTGCCCTCAGCCAAGAGCCCGTGGAATTTGGCAGTGAAGTGACCTTAAAAATAAAAAAAGTAGACAAAATGCAGGTGAGTGCCCACTCCTGATATGTGGCCTTCGAAGGGTCGGTGAAGAATACAGTGGTACCTTGGTTTGCAACCGTTTGGGATTACAACCGTTTTGGATTACAACCACGTCAAACCCTGAAGTGTGTGTCCCTTTATTTTGGATTACAACCCATCTTTTTGGGATTACAACCATTATTTTTTTTTTTGAGGCCCCATTGGTAAAAGCGCGCCTTGGGTTACAACCTGTTTTGGTTTACAACTGGACCTCCAGAACAGATTATGGTTGTAAACCAAGGTATGTGGTCCTCAGGCCATAAAAGCCTAGCAACCCCTTGGTTTATATATTAAAATTTAGCAGCCTGGTTGTATCCTTAAATTCTGCTTAAGTGTTACATGAATGGCCCTCACATTTCCGCGCTTTGCCCATTCTGCTTTGAAGCGGCCATTATGAAATTTGGAAGTTTTCGTTTTGATAGAACCATAGTTTAGCATTGCAGCCAAATTAAAACTGCTTTGTATTATTTATGTTTTATGGGAAAGTTGGGATTACAGTTTAAAGATATGGCTAATTTCAGCCAGTCCTAGTTAAGACAAACCACAGCTTGTCTGTGTTTGGACGTAGCAATAAATGGGTTAATTGAATATGGAACAAAAGCTTAATTCTCTGTCAGAAGCTCAGTCATGCAACTAAATACAGTTTACCTGCAACAAAGTTCCTCTGTCTCTTTAATCCTGCTATAACACCCAAATGGCTTCTCAGCAGAATGAAGTGTTTCCTTCCCTCTTCATATCCTCCCTAGTAACTCCTTTACCAATATTTAGTATCACTAGTATCTCCATCTACTATACAGTGGTACTGTACCTTGGTTTACGAACTTAATCCGTTCTGGAAGTCTGTTTTTAAACCAAAGTGTTCTTAAACCAAGGAGTGCTTTCCCATAGCAGCGGGAGACTCAACTTAAAAATGGAACACACTCAACAGGAAGTGGAACATGGTCTGCTTCCAAGGCAAAGTTCACAAACCAAAACACCTACAGTGGTACCTCAGGTTACAGACACTTCAGGTTACAGACTCCGCTAACCCAGAAATAGTACCTCGGGTTAAGAACTTTGCTTCAGGTTGAGAACAAAAATCGCCTGACAGCGGCGCGGCAGCAGCGGGAGGCCCCATTAGCTAAAGGGCTACCTCAGGTTAAGAACGGTACAGTTTCAGGTTAAGAACGGACCGCCAAAACAAATTAAGTTCTTAACCTGAGGTACCACTGTACTTCCAGGTTTGCAGCATTCTTAGTCCAAGTTGTTCATAAACTAAATTGTTCTTAAACCAAGGTACCGCTGTATCCAGATTTTTCTTTGGGATCTTTGGCTGACATAGGCCAAATTCCTACTTGTGTCTAGCCCAGGGATGGGCACCTTCAGCATTCAATTTCCCGCCAGACCACAACTCTCATTTAGTGCTATTTTTCTAGAAAAAGAGGTGCACGAACTCACTTTAAACACCTCCCTTGTTCTCTTAGAATGGCAATGGCGCCCACCTTAGAAGTGCCGGAACTGGGGGGAAAAACTCCTCTCATCATCCCTGGCCATTGGCCATGCCAACTGGGGTTGATGAGAGTTGTAGTCCAATCACATTTGAAGGGCCACAGGTTCCCAGTTCCGAGTGTAGACTATAGGCTTGTGGTCCGTATAATGGAATGCACTTCCATTTTAAAAATATATATACAGTGGTGCCTCGCAAGACGAAAAGAATCCGTTCCGCGAGTCTCTTCGTCTTGCGGTTTTTTCGTCTTGCGAAGCAAGCCCATTAGCAGCTTAGCGCTATTAGCGGCTTAGCGCTATTAGCGGATCAGCTGATAAGCGGCTTAGCGGATCAGCTGATAAGCGGCTTAGCGGATCAGCTGTTAAGCGGCTTAGCGGATCAGCTGATAAGCGGCTTAGCGATCAGCTGTTTAGCGGCTTAGCGGATCAGCTGATAAGCAGCTTAGTGGCTGGGGGAAAAGGGGGGGGGAACCCCTGCAGGAACTCGCAAGACATTTTCGTCTTGCGAAGCAAGCCCATAGGAAATTTGTTTTGCGAAGCACCTCCAAAACGGAAAATCCTTTCGTCTAGCGGGTTTTCTGTCTTGCGAGGCATTCGTCTTGCGGGGCACCACTGTATTTCCATAGAAAACTGGTCATCTGGTTCTTTAGGGGGAGAGAATGCTTGCATGGCGGAAAATTCAGTCACGCGAGCCCCAAGCACAGGCCTATCATAGTCATTGTGTTGCCACAAATCTGCTGCCCTAAGCTGGTTTTCGCTTAAAAGGTGAAGGACATGTAAACAAATCTTGTTGCCTCGTTTCTGGTCTTCTTTCAGGAACCTCCAAAGGAAGATCTAACAGTGTCAGAAAAATTCCAGCTCGTTCTGGACGTGGCACAAAAAGCACAGGTAATGTAACCCCTAGCACCTCCCCTTGAAAGGATTTGTGGGTAAGATCTCAGGGCGGTTCATAACACAAGTTTTCTTGTCAGCTCCCAGGTCTGTTCTTTGTGGTCCATATTTGCCTGTGCCAACCTAGGTGCAACCCACGAAACACCTCTAAGGAACATCTTTCTCAGCAAGCTTCTTAGTCAGACGCCTGGCTTCTGCTATCTGCTTTACTTTTCCGTCTACAGTGGTGCCTCGCAAGACGAAAAGAATCCGTTCCGCGATTCTTTTCTTCTAGCGGTTTTTTCGTCTTGCGAAGCAACCCCATTGGCGGCTAAGCGGATTAGCGCTATTAGCGATTTAGCGCTATTAGCGGCTTAGCGGGCTTGGATTTGGATTTGAATTGCGGTTTACATAGAGGGAGCTTATTGTGTATAATGTTTACTTAACTGAAGTAAAATTGGTTTTATGGGTGTTTTAACTTGGAACTGTTTAAGTTGTATTGCTTATGGATAAATTTTGATGTATTGTTTTCGATATGGGCCAATGGCCGCAATAAATCTATCTATTAATCTATAGCGCTATTAGCAGCTTAGCGGCTAAGCTGTTAAAAGGCTATTAACAGCTTAGCGGCTTTGAAAAAGGGGGAAAAAGCGGGGGGAAATTGTGAGACTCGCAAGACGTTTTCGTCTTGCGAAGCAAGCCCATAGGGAACTTCGTCTTGCGAAGCAACTCAAAAACGGAAAACCCTTTCGTCTAGCGGGTTTTCCGTCTTGCGAGGCATTCGTCTTGCGGGGCACCACTGTATAAGATGCCCCCATGTATAAGATGCCCCCTATTTTTGGGGACTCAAATTTTAGAAAATATGGGGGGAGATGGCTCAGGCTTTGGGGGGGGGGTTGCCAAAAATTGCCCACTTGCCACAGGAACAGCCAATCACAAACAGACCCTTCCTCAGCAAAAAAAATCTCTTATCCGACTGAGAAAAGCTGTCCGCTGGCGATCGCGCGCTTCCCAGAACAGCAGCCGCCAATCGCGGCAGCGACAGCCAATCCACAGCAGTGTTTGCTGCAGAAACCAATTGCCAACCCAATTAGAGAAGCAACAGCCAATCCAAAGCAGCTCTTCCAGCAGCCAACAAGCGTCACTGACACGCTCCTGCTCGCAGCTGCAGCCAATCACCCTTCCACCCCATTCACTATCCATGTATAAGACGAGGCACATTTTTGAACATAATTTTAGAGTAAAAAAAAACCCCTCATCTTATACACAGAAAAGTATTTCTTAGCTACTGAGGGCTGCCACCCAGTAATTTTATTTCTGAACTGAGAATTAAACCCAAATCTTTTGGTGACTCTGACCTGTGCACCCTCATTGAAGAATGAAAAAAAAATCACGTGAAAAATCAGTTTCAGAAGACTCTTTTCTTCTCAACTTCATGCCGCAATATTGCCTCTTGCAATGCGTAGACCGTACAGCGTTTGAAATGTTAATGGCAGATGAAATTGATGGAATATGCAGAAGTGGCTAAACTTAACTCGTAGAATAAGAGGCCAGGAAGAAAGTTTTTTTTAAAAAAAGGAAGATTGGAAAAGGTTTGTAGGATACTTGAACAATTATTGTAAACAAATTAAAGACGTTAGCAGGGTTAGAGTAAATTCAGCAGCGGAAAGAAAACTGATATAAAATGGAAATAATAGGGTTTAATTGGAATATGCAGCAGAAATGGGTAACCAAAATGAATCATGGAAGGTGGGTGGGAAGGAAGTTGATGCCAAACGTATGATTGATATTTTGGTAAATGTGCAAACCTTGTAAAAAAACAACACAAACACAAAAACCAACAACCACTAAATAAAAAAAAAAAGGGGGGGGAGTTCAACATTAGTGTAAATGCGGTCATTTTCCCTGCAGTCATTTCCAGTGTTCAAGGGATGTTTTCTACGTTCTCAAAACAGCAATCTTTTTACACAGGATTCGCAATTCTGCCCATTGGGCATTCTCTAGTTTATGGTTCCTAAAACACAAGGAATGGGGGTGCGGGGGAGCAAGCAGCAATTTCTGGCATGTGAAGATTTTATGAGTGTCGTACTGTGACTGGAATAAAGATTTTCTTCCAACTTTGCAATGAGATGGAACTGATTTTATTTTATTTTTAATCTAAAACGGTGGCTTTCTACCCAGAATAGAACTTTAGCTTAAGTTGCACTGCAGTATATTCTGAGCTGACATTCCCTTCCTCTTTCAATTGCAGAATTTGTTTGGCAAAATGTCAGACATACTGGAAAAAATCAAAAAGTGAGTTTTAAATGCATTTATTTTCAGCATATTTGAACGGGGGGGAGAGAACAAAGTGCCGCAATGGCTCACTTATTTCTCTGTTCCTTTTCCCTTTCACAGCTTGTTTATGTGGGTGCAGCCTGAAGTTACGCAAAAGTTGTACATTGCTCTGTGGGCGGCGTTTATAGCATCGTGCTGTATTCCATACAGGATCATCGGCCTTTCAATGGGTAACACTTTTCAGATTTCTTGCCGCTTTCTGTGGTCCTAGAAGCTCACATCTATCTTGACCAGGAACCAAGTTTCCATTATGAGCCATTAATTGGGCATGCTTTAAAAAATACTTGCACGGTGCCAGACTTGCTTGGAGATGGATGTTAGGTAAAGGATCCCTGGACGGTTACGTCCAATCAAAGGCGACTATGGGGTTGTGGCGCTCATCTCGCTTTCAGGCTGAGGGAGCCTGCGTTTGTCCATAGAGAGCTTTCCGGTTCATGTGGCCAGCATGACTAAACCACTTCTGGCGCAACTTGATGGAAACCAGAGCGCACGGAAACACCGTTTACTTTCCCGCTGCAACAGTACCTATTTATCTACTTGCACTGGTGTGCTTTCGAACTGCTAGGTTGGCAGGAGCTGGGGCAGAGCAATGGGAGCTCACCCCGTCGTGGGGATTTGAACTGCCGGCCTTCTGATCGGCAAGTCCAAGAGGCTCAGTGGTTTAGACCACAGCGCCACCCGCGTCCCATAGATGGATGTAACCCCTTATGAGAATTTTTTTTTTAAATGCTTCTAGAACCATCCTCTCAATATGGCTTACAAATAAAATTAAAGCATAAAATCATTAAGCTAGCCATATAAACAACCATACAGGACACAGCAATGTCCAGACCTGAAGTGTTAGAAGGCAGCTGGTAATTTCCTTTTATGTTTTGGGTTTTTTGCCTACCCAAGGTGGGTTATAGCATTGTAAGTAATACAATTTAAAACCACCTACCCCAAACAGACCTGCATTAATTAACTCTTTACAGATAGGTCATGGAAACCTTATTTTTCAGCTGTCAAGATGGCCAAGATAAAGAGGTCCATAGCTGCAACTCTGCTGCTTTGCTGTAAATCAACCTTAACTTCTGCTTTTGCAGTTGTGTGGCCACTTGCAGTTGTGTGGCTCACATCTCTTGCAGACCCTATAGTTTCTGGCCTTTTGTTCAAGGGTTGAAGTACAGCGGTACCTCTGGTTGCAAATGGGATCCGTTCCGGAGGCCTGTTCGCAACGTGAAAAGCCCGCAGGTGTGCGGCGCAATTTGGTGCTTGTGCGCATGAACAAAGCACAGTTTAGCGCTACTGCGCATGCATGAGTGGCAAAACCCAGAAGTTGTTGGAATTCCGCCTGGGTCAGAGGAATGTGCCACAGCGTAGGCACCGGCAGATATTCCTTGTCGACCTCCCCGCTGCGCCACTCTGCTGATAAGCAGGCGAGGTCTCGGCGATTCTTCTCAGATGTGTGAGAGGAACACACCGTTCTTCCTCTCTCCCCTTTGGTGTCCCCCAGGGAGGGGAAAGAAGCAGACAGAAATCTATTTACATCCTTTATTTCTGTCTCTTACATCAGTACAGAGAAACATGTCTGCACTCAACAACAGTAAGAAGAAACTCCACCCATGTACTTCCAGTATGGGTCATATGACACACACACTGAGCTAACATCCGGTGCTCAGTACTGAATGGACTGCCCCTTTGTTCCCATGGCAACAGTCACAAACATCCTGTCTGGCTTTCCAGCCACAAGCAGCTGACTGAGCTGCTAGAGCCTTTGCTTGCTGCAGCATTGGTGCTTTATGGTAACATCCTCCCCCTAAAGTATCAATGCGTGCTGCGAGCAAAGCGTCATCCAGAGAACCCTTTCCGGTACTTCTGGGTCGCTGCGGGACGCAACCTGAAAAAAACGTAACATGAAGTAAACGTAACACGAGATATGACTGTATCTTTGTTTTGGTTGTACGGTGACTATATCGGTAGCACAATTCCAGTTAAGCTATATTTCACTGATAACCTTCCTTCCTTTCTTTCTTTCTTTCTTTCTTTCTTTCTTTCTTTCTTTCTTTCTTTCTTTCTTTCTTGTCTTTCCAATTACATAGGACTTTATGCAGGAATCAAATTTTTCCTTATCGACTTTGTCTTCAAGCGGTGCCCGAGGCTACGAGCAAAGTACGATACCCCTTATATCATATGGTTAAACTTGCCCACAGATCCCCAGCTCAAAGAGAGAGCTAATGCTACAGTATCAAGACGGGTAAATAGAGCTTGATGTTTTGTTTTGTTTTGTTTTGTTTTTTGTTTTCATGTAACCGAACGATATCCATTTGACTTCAGTGGCTAGAGCACGTAGAAGGACTGGCTGGCTGGCTTTTAAGGCTGTGGACCTAATATGCACGGTTGAATTTGATAGTTGACAACTCTCCCACTTCAAAAACAGAAGGCCCCGTGAATGTAGATATTGGGTGCTCCAAGACTAACGGGTGATGTTCTAAACCCCAAGGGTCATCTAGACCAACCCCCTGCAATGTACTCACAGCATAGGATAGTAGTCGCAATCCCAGTCTCACTCAGTCGTGACAATATAACACAGCAAATATAATCCCCATCAAGTCCTTAGCGATTGTACTCAGTAATTCTGAACTTGTCCACAGCCATTGCCATACTAACGGTTAATGACAGACTATTATTATTATTATTATTATTATTATTATTATTATTATTATTATTATTCAGGTAGCTATGTCAGAACTCCAATGGGAAACGCAGCCAGATGGGCAGGGTATAATTAATTTATTATTATTATTATTATTATTATTATTATTATTATTATACTATGACCATGGTACCGGGACGCAGGTGGCGCTGTGAGTTAAACCACAGAGCCTAGGACTTGCCGATCAGAAGGTTGGCGGTTCGAATCCCTGCGACGGGGTGAGCTCCCGTTGCTTGGTCCCAGCTCCTGCCAACTTAGCAGTTCGAAAGCACGTCAAGTGCAAGTAGATAAATAGGTACCGCTCAGGAGGGAAGGTAAACGGCGTTTCTGTGCGCTGCTCTGGTTCGCCAGAAGCGGCTTAGTCATGCTGGCCACATGACCCGGAAGCTGTACGCCGGCTCCCTTGGCCAATAAAGCGAGATGAGCGCCGCAACCCCAGAGTCGGTCACAACTGGACCTAATGGTCAGGGGTCCCTTTACCTTTACCTTTTTATGACCATGGTAAAGGAACAGGGGCAGGTCAACTGTTTTTGACTTCTACCCTAAGGCTATAGCCCAGTTTCTAGCAGTGTGTATTCCTTTATTGAGATTTACAGCTTGCCCTTCATTCAAAGATACCAGGGAGGGTTAAGTACAATTTCGAAACCCAGATTAAAGCAATTACATGATTTAAAACGTCGCCTGACCCCAATTAAAAGTATTATGCGTTGACTGTCTGAACTTTGAAGTCTCCTCTTATGAGACTCAGTTGAATCAAGGGCCAATTCAAAACATTCAGATAAAAAATAAGAGATACAGCAGCAGCCTTGTCAGAATTTTACCAATCAGATTACAGGTTGTCTTATTTTGAAAACATAGCAGCTGTGGGGAACCCCAGAGAGCTGTCGTTTCCAATCTAAGTGCTAAGATCTGAGATAAAGGCTCTCTTGTCCCTGATCTTAGCGCTGTGGTGCTTAGCACTGAGATTTGAGTTCACTGAGAATGCACTGAGATAAACCTCTGCCTGCTGTCAATTGCGGTCTAAGAGCAGGCAGGCACTTATCTCCAATCTTAGTGCGAAAAGCGCCACAGTGCTAAGATTGCAGGAGAGAAAAACACTGCCTGCTCTTTTGCAGTTAAAGGCAACAAGGTTCTTCCTTTGCATCTCAGTTTGAATTCAAAAAAGAATCTTCCCTTGTAACTGTGACGACAACAACAGCAGCAGCAACAACAACATCTGGCTGGGTTTTCCCAGCCAGTCTGGGTGGCTCCCCACAAAATTAAAAGCACAATAAAACATCAAACATTAAAAACTTCCCTAAACAGGGCTGCCTTCAGATGTCTTCTAAAGTCAGATAATTGTTTATTTCCTTGACATCTGATGGGAGGGCGTTTCACAGGGTGGGTGCCACCACCAAGAAGGCCCTCTGCCTAGATCCCTGTAACTTCGCTTCTCTCAGTGAGGAAACCTCCAGAAGGCCCTCGAAGCTGGACCTCAGTGTCCGGGCAGAACGATGGGGGTAGAGGCGCTCCTTCAGGTATACTAAGCTGAGGCCGTTTAGGGCTTTAAAGGTCAGCACCAACACTTTGAATTGTGCTCGGAACCGTACTGGGAGCCAATGTAGGTCTTTCAAGACCGGTGTTATGCGGTCTCGGCAGCCGCTCCCAGTCACCAGTCTAGCTGCCGCATTCTGGATTAGTTGTAGTTTCCGGGTCACCTTCAAAGGTAGCCCCACGTAGAGCGCATTGCAGTAGTCCGAGTGGGAGATAACTAGACCATGCATCACTCTGGCGAGACAGTCTGCAGGCAGGTAGGGTCTCATCCTGAGTACCAGATGGAGCAGGTAGACAGCTGCCCTGTCTTGGAATCACCTGATGTCACATGTAAAAACGGCCCCTGGAATCTGGCTGGATCCAGTTTTCCATCCCTACCCTAAATAATTCAGCATTTTCTTGCATCTGGAGTGCCCAGCAGTTCATTCAGAGTCTTCTCCTTGAATTTCTCAAAGGTGCAAGCATTCTACATTCTAGTGACACTTTTGATCTGACAGAGCCTTGAACTGCTTTTCCCCACCAATAATTTTACGTGGTCCAGTCACGAGGAGGCTGTATTGCACTCTTTATCTGAACATTCAGTTTTTCTTCAGTTGAGCTGCTTTGCCGATATGCATATATTCTTTTGTTTGGTCTATCAAAGGAATCTATGGAGAACTCATTATCTACATTACACCGAATTAACCTTCTGCCATACTTTCTCAGCTAATACCAAATTATAAACAAAATGAAGTGAAAAGTTACACCCACTGTTAAACAGATTAAGAGCCAGAAATGGGAAATCTAGTTAAGGGCTAATTTAATTTTAATGGATTGAAAATATATGCTCTAACCACTGATACATTGGAGTGATTTTTTTTCCTTTTCCTTTTAAGATTGCAATCATTGTGTTTAGTCTTTTGGAATGTACAACCTTGCAACTTCACTCAGTTCATGTTTTTTATTCTGTATATTATACAGTTAAATAGATTTCGCTTTTTTCTTTTGTCACTGTCACATTTGTGTTTGTTTGTTTTTTCCTTTCCTGCTAGCTGTCAGGGCATGAAAAGGTACGGATCTTAGCGTGCAACACTTTCTTTCTTTCAATGTAAGCTTGTGTATTTAGTTAACAGTTACGTTGTATGTTTGTGTGTGTTGCATATATTAAATGGCTTGGTTTTAATTTGTAGTTTCTTGGAAATGCGTAGTAAGTGTGGCTCCTGCTAGCTGAATGATCTTGAATTAATTGTGTGCAATAGTATTTCCAGATCTAGTCGAAGGAGTTATTTTGATGTGCTTGTTAAATGCCGTCTAGCGAAAGGACCCTGTTCTGATGTTCAGAGTCAGACAGTTAGAATTATGTGAGGGAGACTGGGGACAGATATGCTATCTCTAGCTATGGAAGTGGTGGCCAAACTTGGCCCTCCAGCTGTTTTGGGACTACATCTCCCATCATCCCTGACTACTGGTCCTGTTAGCTAGGGATGATGGGAGTTGTAGTACAAGTTTGGCCACCACTGAGCTATGGGGAGTTGGAAGTGACACTCTTCAGTGCAGAGCCTGTCCTACACCCGAAGGCTCTCTATATTATTATTATTATTTATTATATAAATTTCTATACCACCTTTCGTACAATATTGAAACACAAAAATACATAGAATCGGTAGAGTTGGAAGGGACCTCAAGAATCATCTAGTCCAACCCTGTGCAATGCAGGAATCTCAGCTAAAGCATCCATGGCAGGTGGCCACCCAACCTCTGCTTAGAAACCTCCAAGGAAGGAGAGTCCACCACCTCCCAAGGGAGACCGTTCCACTGACTATCAGCTCTCATTGTCAGAAAGTTCTTCCTGGAGTTTACTCGTAATCTCCTTTCTAGCAACTTGAAGCCATTGGTTTGAGTCCTACCCTTCGGATCCGGAGAAGACAAGCTCGAGACGGCCCTTGAGATATTTGAAGATGGCTCTCATGATCTCTTCTCAGGCTCTTCCTTTCCAGGCCAAACAGACCTAGCCCCTTCAACTGTTCCTCACGGACTGTCTCGCCAGAGTGGTGCATTTTTAAAATGGGCTACCATGTTTTAAAAATAAGAAGGGTGTTTTTTGTGGTTTTTGATTTGGCGTGGAATGACCTATTTGCCATATTCTCATTTCTCAGTTGCAATTCTACTGGAACTTTTTTTTAAAAAAAGGTTTGCATTAAAGAGTGCAGTCCAGACAAGTTGAGATGGTCATATGATGTTGGTGAATTGAATGTCTATCCCCCACCTCTCTCTCTCTGAGGAGACCTGTGCAGCAAAAGAAATCAGCAGGGTTTAAAGTGAATAATTGAAACATTCAAGCAGAATTTACTTAATTAGGAGTTATTGCGCCAGCTTTTAAGATGCCAAATGTTGTAAGCAAAACTTTGACATTCCTTAGAGTTTGAGGGCATAATATGCGAGTGAACATCGAGATAGCGGCCTGAGGGTCCATTACTCATTTTATTTTATTAAAAGCTGAGCAGATCTCTTTCCTCGCCAGGGCCAGGACGGCAGACCACATGGGAACGTCTTTTTATCATTTATTGTGATGACACCCTGCGGTTGGGCCCCGTTTTATCAGGATGGCTTACAATAAAAGCACGCCTGAACAGCCCCTTGCTTGCATGTGCCGCTTAGGATCGCAGCCAGCCTTTACAAAATACAATAGAGCCCACCTGAAATGGCACCGTTTCTGACTGAACGTGCGGCGCTGCATGTTCTCACTCTTCTCTCTTTGTAAGACCTTTCTGCATTTAGGGGGAAAAAAGTTTCTGCAAGAGAGGGCTGTACTGGAGCTTCTCTTCCCGATGCACTAGATTTCTCAAGAGTTGTGACACGTGGGCATGCTCCACACAGACAGTGCAGGAGCTTTCTAATACAGTGGAATTTGGTTTTCGATCGCCAAAAACCCGGAAGTCAATGCTTCCGCTTTCAAACGCGCCTCGGAAGTAGAATAGCTCCCACTGAGATTTTTTTCCAGTTTTCTCTATTGAATTTGCAGGCTGCCCTTTTCGCCTCAGTTTTCAAACGTTTCGGAAATCCAGAATGGATTACGTTCAAAAATCGAGGTACCACTCTACGCAGTTCACATGTCTGCAGTAAGAAGTGGTATAGTCCAGTTTTATTGTAAAAGGTAAAAGGACTCCTGACCATTAGGTCCAGTCGTGACCAACTCTGGGGTTGTGGCGTTCATCTCGCTTTATTGGCCTAGGGAGCTGGCGTACAGCTTCCGGGTCATGTGGCCAGCATGACTAAGCCGCTACTGGCGAACCAGAGCAGCGCACAGAAACGCTGTTTACCTTCCCGCCGGAGTGGTACCTATTTATCTACTTGCACTTTGACGTGCTTTTGAACTGCTTGGTTGGCAGGAGCAGGGACCGAGCAACGGGAGCTCACCCCACCGCGAGGATTCAAACCGCCAACCTTCTGATCGGCAATTCTTAGGCTCTGTGGTTTAACCCACAGCACCACCTGCGTCCCAAAGTTTTATTGTACCACCTGATAATTCTGAATGGATAGATTGGATCTAATTCTGGCTCACGTGGAAACTCCACTCCCGACCTTTTACAACACTGGTCTACGTGGGCAAGACACGCAGTTGTGTTGGATATCAAGGCTTGTTCCCCCCCCCCCCCCCGCCATAAATGCACGTTCCGAAGAATAAAGGCAGGGTGTTGTTGTTTTTCTAAGGATTGCATAAAATCGCAAAGCCGTCCCTGTGCGCTTTATGCATTTGCCGTGCATTAATGGTAACCCGATTTTATTTCCTTGCAGCTTCAAACGGCAACGTCGCGAAGTTGCGTGGGCTCCAGCGCCCCGACGGGAGTAAGCAGAGACGAAGACAGCAGCCGATTTCACACCACCAAGAGAGGCAACTTCTATGAAGTATTTAATCTGTCGGAAAACGAACGTCCTTTGTCAGGTAGCGGCGCATACGTAATACACGGGCGTTGGCCGTAAATAGAAGCGCATTTTTAAAAAGGAATTGCACGCAGTGTGGCGTACTGAGAAAATGAACTGCCCTGTAATGTTATCTGCTGTTAGGTCCTGTGAGCAAGAGGCCAAATTAATTTTTTATCTGACATCCATAAGATTCTTTGAGAGAACCTGATGCCTGCCGCTTGGTTTGCCTTTTGTGGTAGCACGAATTTGAGAGGGCAGGAAAGGTTCATAATCCTGTGAGAGAAGTAACTTAACCCAGTGCTTGAAACAAATACTTCAGGGTTTAGGAAAAGTTTTGGTACGCATTCTGGAATTCTGGTGTGTGGCTTTGTTGCTTTTAAAGAAAGATTTGTCACCATAATTTAACAAAACATGTCCGTGTCCCATTTTCTTTGGGGGGGGGGAATGCAGGTTTGGCCCCTCAATTTCTTGCATGAAGTATAATGTGTTTGTTTTCTTTTGACAGTGTGTGAGAATGGCTGGCGCTGCTGCTTAATTAACAGAGACAGGAAGATGCCCACAGACTACATTAGAAATGGAGTGCTTTACGTCACAGAAAAGTAAGCCTTTACGCGATTTGTAACGGAGTTTTCAGCCTGGGAAGAAATTGAGTAACTGGGAGCACCAGCACTTTTGTAAATTTCAAAGGGGAAAACACAGTGCAACTCCTTTTGCAAGTGCCATTAAACCAAAGGAGAAGGTTAAAGGTATTTCACACGTGTCACCGTAAATAAATGTAAGAAAAATATACAGGGCGTGCAAACAAGCCCTCAGTGGATTTTCCCCCTCATGAGAATGCCAGAACGTGTTGCAACATGATTCATTCACTGTTCACATGAGGTAGAACCAACTCATGAAAAAGTAGGCGTCTCCTCGAGAAATAATAAGAGAATTGAATGGGTCAGAAAAGAGTCACCCAAGTGTAGCTGTAATATCCTGAGTGTAGTGATGTTCTTTCTCAAAAGGTAAACCGTTTCTGTGCGCTCTAGCTTCCGTCATGGTGTTCCATTGCGCCAGAAGTGGGTTTTTTAAAAAATTTAATTATTTATTTGGTTTTTCAAATTATAGTTTTACAATCAGATATCCAACATACAACATAAAAACAAGATTCCAAGGAATCTCCTGAACTTCCCTCCTCCCCTTTGTGGGTCCTCTTGTTAATCATTTCCTCCTGCATATTTTATAATAATCCAAATCTTTTACATCTCCATTATATCCAAAATTCACCATTAAACTGCAAGTGTTATTCCAATCCTACTCGCGATTTTAACTGTTTACAATGGTCTTTAAGATAAATTTTAAAATTTCCCCATTCCTGACTAAAATTTTGGTCTTCCTGATTTCTGATTCTTCCGGTCATTTTTGCCATTTGAGAATAATCCCATCAACTTAATCTGCCATTCTTCTCTGATCGGGACTTTATCTTCTTTCCATCTCTGGGCCAGTAACATCTGCGCAGCCGTGGTCGACTGCGCCAGAAGCGGTTTAGTTGGTCACATGACCTGGAAATGCTGGTCACATGACCTGGAAAGCTGTCTGTGGACAAATGCCAGCTCCCTGGGCCTGAAGGCAAGATGAGCGCTGCAACCCCATAGTCACCTTTGACTGGACTTCACTGTCCAAGGGTAATTTACCTTTTTGGTGGGTGCGGGTGGCGCTGTGGTCTAAACCACTGAGCCTCTTGGGCTTGCCGATCGGAAGGTCGACGGTTCGAATCCCCGCAATGAGGTGAGCTCCCGTTGCTCTGTCCCAGCTCCTGTCAACCTAGCAGTTCGAAAGCACGCCGGTGCAAGTAGATAAATAGGTACCGCTCTGGTGGGAAGGTAAATGGTGTTTCTGTGCGCTCTGGCTTCCGTCACAGTCCTCTGTGTGCCAGAAGCCATTTAGTCCTGCTGGCCACATGACCCGGAAAGCTGTCTGGGGACAAACACCGGCTCCCTTGGCCTGAAAGCGGAGTTGAGTGCCGCACCCCATAGTTGCCTTTGACTGGTCTTAACCGTCCAGGGGTCCTTTAGCTTTTCCTTAAAGGTAAAGGTAAAGGTACCCCTGCCCGTACGGGCCAGTCGTGACCGACTCTGGGGTTGCGCACCCATCTCGCTTAAGAGGCTGGGGGCCAGCGCTGTCCGCAGACACTTCCGGGTCACGTGGCCAGCGTGACATAGCTGCTCTGGCGAGCCTGCACCAGCGCAGCACACGGAAACGCCGTTTACCTTCCCGCTATAAAGCGGTACCTATTTATCTACTTGCACTTAAGGGTGCTTTCGCACTGCTAGGTGGGCAGGAGCTGGGACCGAATGACGGGAGCTCACCCCGCCGCGGGGATTCGAACCGCCGACCATACGATCGGCAAGTCCTAGGCGCTGAGGTTTTACCCACAGCGCCACCCGCGTCCCTTAGCTTTTCCTTACCTTTCTCAAAAGTAGACAGGTCAGAGTGAAATGACCTGTAGCGGCTGCATTTCTGCAGTCTGACGAGCAATGTTTCAGACTTCGAACTCAGTCAACCTGATGTGTTTCTAGAATACGTTTTCTTGGCGCCTTCTGTGCACATGTTAGGCAGATCTCAGAGTTCTACACTTTCATATACTTCAGAATCAAAGACGGAGGGCTTAGCCAAATGAACTTTTAAGAAAATTTTATTGGCGTGAAAGGGGGCATTCTGGGAAGCTGAAATAATTTCTCCAGAAGCCTTTCTTTGTTACACCTGTGTGCTGGTGTTAGGCTACGTGGCCATGTCACTCAAGACAGACAAAGCTCTCCACGAAGTGTTGCCGCCATTCTAAAGTATGATTAAAGTGACATGTTATATGTCTGGCTCGATCCCAAGGGCTCTGCAAATTGCACCCATAGAAGAGTTGGGAATCTTAAACCTATCTCCTCCCCTGGGATTTTTTCCTCTGGTGGCTGATGCCAGGGCAAGTGAATTGTGCTTCTGGCTGCCCCTCTCGAGGGATACATATGATAGATTAATGTACACACCACAGAGCCCCAATATTCTCACCCCATAAACTTGTTGAAACCCCCTCACCAGCTCCTCCCAAGGCCGCCACATGAGCCTCGTTGGCCCTGAACCAGGCCTCTTCTAATTTGGAACAGAAACAGCTTATTTTTGCTCTCAGTGGAGTCAACCCTTAGCCAGAACTTATTTACGGTGTCAGTCTTGCTAGGAAAAAGAGCATTTCAAAGCAAAAAAGCAGCACCCAAACTGTAGTCAGTTGAGCCTTAATTTGTGCTGGGTAGTTATTTGCCTTCATGGTGGTGGGAATATCCCCTTATTGCAAAAGGGGGTGTTCTTTTACCTCATCTGTAATCTTCAATATTCCACAAAGCAGGCAGAGCTTCAAGTTATGGGTGATACCAAACATTGTTACACTCAGGGCAGGCGGATTGATTTCTGTGGGTGTGTCAATCCTTTTTTAAAAAAATAGACTAAAAGCACATAGTGGTGAGAAAGAAGATATTCCTGAGATTTGAATCTTTCCTGATGAATGGAAGTGATAAGATCTGTGTGGAACTCCTTATAGAAGGGTATTGGAGATGTGCTGCTTGTAGCATTGTGTACGCACATGTTTTTGTTGTAGCACCAGTGTATGACAGTCTCTAAAACTATATAGAGCTTAGTTGTTCAATTTGGTGTAACTGCTCTTTCCTTTTTTTTTTATTTGTCTGGCAATTTAATTATTCCACGTTGATTTGCAAAGCTGTTTGTATTTAAACTAAAAATTGAAGTTAGTTGGCAAGGCTTTGAATCATTTTGGTCCTCAAACATCTATATAATATGTAACGTTTTCCTTTCCTTTTGTCCAGTTATTTGTGCTTTGAAAGTTCCAAATCTGGTTCATCTAAAAGAAATAAAGTTATAAAGTTGACAGATATTACAGATATTCAAAAGGTAGGTCCATGGTGTCTGTTTAACATGCTGTTTTTAAATAATAAGGATGAAGGTTGTATTCTTGTGTCCTGAGGCAAAACATTTGAACATCACATTGGCCCCTAGATCCATTCTCTGGGCAGATGTGGAAGCCACTTCTGGTCATTGTGTTGTGTTTCTTTGTCATGATCTGTGGAACCTTCAGATCATGTGGATCTCCTTTAGCGCAACAACTCTGAAATACTTGTCTGAGCTAACTAACCCAGGAACTACCTTTCCCAGCATATTTCTGGGCCATTGCAGATCCTACCCTAGGAGCCATCCCCTAGGGACCCCCATAAAATATTTGAGGGGGCTGAGCTCCCCCAAAGTTGATGGGCATCACCATTCAAATGATGAGTTTCTTGTGATTGATTATGCAATGTTTTATTAAAGTTGGCACCCCTGGACCCAAGTATGCGGGTGGCGCTGTGGTCTAAACCACTGAGCCTCTCAGGCTTGCCAATCAGAAGGCCGGTGGTTCGAATCCCTGCGACGGGGTGAGCTCCCGTTGCTCTGTCCCAGCTCCTGCCAACCTTGCAGTTCGAAAGCATGCCAGTACAAGTAGATAAATAGGTACTGCTGCGGTGGAAAGGCGTTTCTGTGCGCTCTGGTTTCCATCACGGTGTTCCAGTTAGCTACCAATTAGCTTCTGGGCCCAATTCAAAGTGCTGGTTTTGACCTATAAGGCCTTAAATGGCTCAGCACCACAATACCTCAAGGATCGCCCCTTCCCATATGAACCCTGAGATCATCTTCTGAGGCCCTCCTGGAGAGGTTTGGAGGGTGGCAACGTGAGAACAGGGCCTTCTCTGCAGTGGCTCCCCATCTGTGGAATGCTCACCTGGCGCCTTCATTATACACCTTTAGGTGCCAGACAAAAACGTTCCTTTTTAACCAGGCCTTTTGTTGACCTGATTGACATCCTATACCATTTTAAAATGTGGCTCTTTTTTGGGGTGGGTGTTATTGGGTTATTCCTCTTGGTTTGATTTTATATGTTGTGGTCTTGCTGTGAACCTCCCTGAGACCTCCAGGTATAGGGTATAGAGAGGCTGTCCAGGAGTAACAGCGGGCCTCAAGCCTGCAGAGAGGCTGTCCACCCCTCTCCTAGTATTATGATGTTGTTGTTTTAATGCCCTCCCTTTTGTGCTATCGACCTGAGAGGTCTCCAGCCCTGGCCAGATCAGAGCCTTTCCCACGTTGCCTCCACCGGCTCAGTATTTAAATATTGCCTTTTTCTTTGCTCTTTTCAGTACAAAGTGCTTTCCGTCCTTCCCGGATCCGGAATGGGGATTGCGGTATCAACGCCGTCTACGCAAAAAGTGAGCAAGCAAATAAAAGGATCTTAACGTGTGTTGCACCATCAATTCTGCCGGCTGAAATATTAATGCTCTGATGAGCTTGTCTGTTTTTGGAGCACTTAACTTGAGCCACGCGGATTCCTTTACTAAACCTTTTTCTTTTTTTTTAAGTTGTTGCAAGCATCTGTGCTGCAATTTGCAACGAAAGGGAATTTAGTCTTCAGGGAAAGCGAAAACGTTTCGGGTCCTTTTTTAGCTTGCATATGCATGGGCCGTCTTAACAAAAATCCACCACAGCGAGTGTTTTAGAGCAGAAAGGGAATAGTGAGTCACGTTCTTTGTCAGTAATACTGTAAAGAGTATGGTGATTTGGGGAAGTTAATGATGAGAAACTTATTTAGTGAAGGCGTTTGGTAAGAATGACTTGAAGGTAACCTGAGAATAAGTCCCATTGAATTCAGTGAGACTTCTTTTTCCCAATTATATTTTATTAAATTTTCAGAAACAACAATACACAAATACACTCCAATGCATACTATTTTTTCTTTTATTTTGTTGACTTCCCACCCTGATTTTCATAGTAGTTTTTTTTTAATTTCTCCCCCTTGCTACACCCTATTATTTCTCTCTTATAGCATAATAACAATACAGTTGTACCTTGGAAGTCGTACCTTGGAAGCTTAGTTCCCAAACGTTTTGGCTCCTGAACATCACAAACCCGGAAGTGACTGTTCCGGTTTGCAAACTATTTTTGGAAGCCCAACGTCCGACGGGGCTTCCACGGCTTCCGATTGGCTGCAGGAGCCAATCGGATTAATCTGTTCCAGACTTTTAAAAACAACCACTAAAACAGCAATTTAACATGAATTTTACTATCTAACGAGACCATTGATCCATAAAATGTAAGGAATAATCAATGTACTGTACTATAAAATAAATAAGACAGTATTGTAGATGATAAAAATTAAAATTATTTTTTTTCTTATCTGCACTGATGATAGTCATTGTTTAGATGGGGCTTTTTTTTTATCCATTTCCGAAGTCACACAATCAATCAATCAGTAGCTGAACTGGGATCCTCACAGTCACAAAAACAAATTAACTGAAAAAGCCTCAAAACAAAAAATGCAAAATAAATAGCAAATAAATAGCAAAAACAAAAGCAGCAAATATCAGCTCCAAATATCACCTTAGAACACTGCAATCGGAAATGGAAGGCTTGAATTACAATGGGGGGGAGGGACACAAATTAGCAGTGCAACAGGAAACACAGGGGGGTGCAAATTAGCAGCACAACAGGAAACACTGGGGGATACAAAACGGAGCACGTTCGGCTTCCAAAAACATTCAAACCGAAACACCTACTTTCGGTTTTGCAGCGTTTGGGTTCCAAGTTGTTCGTGAACTAAGCTGTTAGAAACTGAAGTACCACAGTATAGGACTGCACAGTTAATTCTTACCGATGCACTAGGGATCTCCGTATTTCAGTCATTATTGTTACTGACTCTTCTGCTTTTCTCTTCCTCCCCCCTTCAAGCCTTTGGTGTTCGGTGCCATGGTACACAGAGACGAAGCTTTCGAGACAATTTTCAACCAGTATATCAAGATAACTTCTGCAGCATCCACCAGCGAAAGCTAGTAGATCACTGTGGGTTCTCCTGGGGAGACTTCTATTAATTTTACTCACTCGGTAGTGAATAAAAAGGTGGAACATCCTTCATCGGTTCTGCAATAATTTTCTTTGATGCATATGTCTTACGTTACACACAAGTGTATTTTATATACGCCTTCCATGTCTTTGTTTTTTAAAAAAAAGCTTTTGTAAAAAACAGAAAAATAAAAAACACGGCGAAAGTGCTATCATCACTATTAGCCTTTGCACATCAAGCACTTTTAATGTTTATTTTACGGACATTAAAAAAAGCTTAGGAAGATCCTTGGCAAAGCTAGCTCGAGGGGCAGGCCATAGAAGCTGGCTTGCGCTACCCCGAAATCCCAGGGCGCGTGATGGTACAATCTCTGCAACGGGTTCTGCGTGCAGTCCAATTATTGTCGATTTCAGTAATGCCACGTAACTGGGTGCAGAATGGGAGCCTGACTTTGCAAAACGTATTAACTGCGTGTTTTTGGGAGCCCTGATAAACGAATTCTGGAGAGCTTTTGATAAATATAAATATTATTATTCGAGCATATGGAATACCTGTAGTTATATGTCTGAGCAAACTTTCTTGCTAAGACGCCTGTACCTTATCAAAGAATTCCCATCTTCTGGAGTCCTTTGTGCTGAGAAATAATAATAATGTCTCACAGTGAAAGTTGGTCTGCTCTTTCATCCCCTGATAAGATAAACCAGAGGAAGCCACTGTTTTCAAAAAGAAGGCACCTTTTAGTAAAACTTGTCATTTTTGTGGTCTCCATTTTTAGGAACTTCACTTCCCTCACTCCACCAAGAATAAATTGGCATTGTGCTGCCTTTACAGTTTCACTGATTTTCTACTTTCTTCTTTTAAAACGTTTGTTCTAATGAGGCGGCTTTTCTAAGTTGTGAAAATTGGTTTCCTGTAGTACAGGCTCACTCTATGAGTGCAGGTTTGCTCATCAAATTCACACAGCAGAATGTTTGGTCTCCCCTCTCCTCAATTTAGTAGTATATTTGGGAGTGTGAGGGTGGTGTTTTTCTCCCTTATGCACAAACATGCCAATTTATTTTCCGTTGCTGATCGTTCTTGCCTCTTGCAGGCTTCCTCTCTGCTTTGTAATTCAATAACGCTTCGTACGCGGAAGGCTTTAATCGAGAAGAACTAGGAATGGACTCCCGATTTTTCAAGCGCTAACTCCATGTTATGTGCAAATGCATATATATATAATGGATTACCAGTGGACCAATTTTGTTACTTTTAAACAAGCAGCTTCAGGGGATTGGAGATTGTGAGCAGAGAAGTAATTTGGGATCTTTAACCCTTTCTGCACTCTCATTTTCCATCTCATGATCATTTCCTCCACTGCTTACCCTGTGAGCTCCCAAGTCCTTCATCGGCAAAGGGCAAAACCGCAACTGGAACCCCAGTGGGAGGGAAAGGGTGAAGCAGTTCAATTGGGGAAAGGATTAAGCACATACACCTCCACTTGCTCCATCCTAAAACTTGTATTCATTTTTCTTTTTAAAAAGGCAATAGGGGCTCTGGTTATTAATAGGGTACACTTGACGCAGGAAAACGAGCTTCTGTGGACTTCAGGCTTCGTTAGGGTAGAAAACTGCTTTCTCCACATTGTTTTAGAAGGAGTAAATTTGCAAGGGAAATAGCAGTGGCAGGATTTAGCAAAACACACTTTTCTTCGACTGCGAAACTCCTCCTCTTCTCAAAGGGACTTAAGCAGACTTGGAAGTTTAGTTTGGTCTTGAATCCGATATGTCAATGCAAGACTCACAGTATTCCAGTTTCACCAAGAGCAATGTTGTAAGTTTCTCGGCCCAACACAACTTCATTTTTTTAAAAAAAGGCAATTGGCATTTTACATACTTTTTTTTGAGCAAGTAGGTTGTATACCCTTTGAAACCAGTTGAAGGAACATGGGCATAACACAAGTTGGACTTTTATGGAAGGGTTTTGTCAAGCATCAGCTCAGCAGGGAAACAAGTTGATAAAAAGATGGGTAAAATAAGCATTAAATCAGAATCGTAGAATATTGAGTTGTCTTTTCAACAAAAGCAGATCCCTTGTGTGTTCATGAAGTTCTCGTTTTTTGAAAAACAGATTATATTTTATACAGAGTGAGCTGTTTTTCTTATTTTTGTATCATTTTCAAACGTAATTTTTACCTTCACTCTGATCATGAAAGTACTGGTTCTGGTGAACCCCTCCCACTTGTGGCCGACTGAAGTATTGTTCTAGAATGTGGTTTCTTGAAGTCCTGTCCGGCTGTGATGTATTGATAATGCCACAATCAGTCCCTTACGTTTTCAGAATAGAACAATGAAAATAAAATGCTGGTATTTCGTAGTTTTTAAATTTTAGTTTCCCCTCTCTTCTGTGGTACTACTAATACAGGTTTGTTCGAAACAGTCTGCACTTGTAACAATGCAAACTTTTTTAAAAAAATAAAATGCTATGGTAGTAATGTATTTTGCAAACTGAAATGCAAAGGGGGTTCATTCCATTATCAAGTAAACGAACTGGATATTTACAGATCAAATCTGCGATAAGGTGGGCAGACATGCATATACTTTTGCAAAATCCAACTTGGCATTACACAGAAGTACTGCAAATTTAACTGCTATGTCGTGTGATAGGCCATTACTTATAATAACCTAAAAATAACTTCGGCAGACTTGAATACCTTAACTGCTTTTTTATTTCCTCTGTCCTGAAATGTTGAGCATTTGCCAGGCTATTCTGTATTGATGTAACCACTCTTAGGTTTGGTCTGAATTCATCTCCTTCCATGGGATTTGCGGTATAGTCCAACTGAATTTAGGTTCAGTAGGGCAACTGAATGTGAAGTATTATTTTTCAGCAACATTTTTTAAAAACCACTCTTCATAAATTTGCTGTATCAATATGTGTTGTTCTGACTATCTGTGGCTTATTGGTGAATATTTGTATTTAATTAGGTAACTTTTTCTCTCTTTTTTTTGGAAGTGATCAAGTTTGAGAACCTTTCTCAAGATAAAGGCAGATGAAAGCTGATCACATTTTATCTTCCCTTTCTAAAATTGCCAGAAACGGAAGTTTTATTACATGTGTTAGTTTTGCGAGGCGAGATTCGACTTCGGACGAATTATGTAGCAACGTCGCACAAAAATCCAGCAAAAACCAATTCACGATGAGTTCTGCAGACCGAGTGAGGAAGCGCTGGAGAGATAGGAACATTTACAAACCCTTAAATCAAACCAACTTGGTAGTTTATAATGAACGATGTACATTTTTGGCAGATATTTTTTTATTTCTGCTACTAATCATTAAATAGAATGGATGTGAAATAATTTTTATGTCTGAGGTTTGAGTCTATATTTTGAAGTTGTAAATATTTCATTAGCAGTGTAACTTTTGTTCAAGAGGAGACTTGTACTGTATGAGAAATTGAACTTAAAAAAATAAATTGCCCTGTACATTTTTTAAAGACACTTGTTTAAAGAAAAAAAGAAGGGGAGGGGGGTCTTGGTATAAATTATAATTTTTATTTAAATAAAATAAACCCTAAAAATGCTTTGATGCTACCAAATGTGCCTGTTTTCCTTCAGCCTACACAGCTTTCTTTCTTTCTTTCTCTGTTTGTGATGGGGTTGGTGTTTCTCAGCCTTTTCAAGAGATTGGGAGGTGAGACGGGGGGCTTCTGGAAGTACTCAGTCTTGTGGTTCCCCTGAAATAAATTATCAGCCATTTTTGTCACAGATGGATGCCCTGAGGTTCTCTGAACTTAGCTTCAGGGCCTGGTATAAGTGCCACACCATTCAGCCATCTTGCTTAAGCTAGGCAGGTTGGGGTCTGCTTAGTGCATGGCTGGGAGATAGCCTGGAAACTCAATGTATGAGTTCCATGATGGAAGAAAAGCGATATTTGTAATGAGCAAACAAAATACGTTTATGAATGCATTTCTACTGTGTGTCTGTCTGTCTGTCTGTGTATGTATCTCATCTGTGGGTACTAAAAAGGTAAAGGACGGTTAAGTCCAGTCAAAGATGACGATGGAGTTGCAGTGCTCATCTCGCTTTCAGGCTGAGAGAGCCAACGTTTGTCCACAGGAGGCCCCATTAGCTAAAGTGGTGCTTCAGGTTAAGAACAGTTTCAGGTTAAGAACGGACCTCCGGAACGAATTAAGTACTTAACCCGAGGTACCACTGTACTTTTAAAAGACAACTGAAGGCGGCCCTGTTTAGGTAAGTTTTTAATGTCTGACGCTGTATTGTTTTTAATATTCGGTTGGAAGCCGCCCAGAGTGGCTGGGGAAACCCAGCCAGATGGGCGGGGTATAAATAATAAATTATTATTATTATTATTATTTGAATGTCTGAATGGTTTGGATCTGGGATATTTTAAGCACCACCTTCTCCTGTCCAAATCTGCCTGCCTACTTAGAACTTTGGAAGAGCTCTTGTGTCCCTCAACATCCCCAGAAATAGGTTTAGCAGGACCCAGGAAGAGAGCCTTTTTGGTAGGCTATACAGTGGAACCTCGGTTGTCGATCGTAATCCATTCCAGAATTCCATTTCTATGTTCGAAATGGAAGCATTCACTTCTGGGTTTTTTGGCATTTGGGTTCCGAATCGTTCGGCTTCAGAGATGCTCAAAAACCAAGGTTCCACTGTATTTTAGGCTACTACTTCCGTTTTATAAAAGTATTAGGAATGAATAGTTTTGAACAATCTATGGATCTGAGGATGGGGCGGCATGTTTTTAGTGCTGTTTTGTTATTTCCTGCATTGCCTCAGAAATGGTACGCCCAGAAAGCTTTAGATGGCTGCCTCCCGTCATCTGCTGTGCCTTGTAAAACGGAACATGTAATATTCCCTGCAAGGTGTAGGGTTGTATATTTGCAGCCAAGCAGCTGGTTCTGTGGCTGACAGTGATTGCAGCTGCTGACAAGCCTTGGAAGAAAAGCATCTTTGCTCTAATTAAAATGTACAGGAGCAAATGACAGCTACCCAACAGCTCTGGCCGACGCTGTAAAGCCAAAAGCTTATTTCATTGGACTTTAAATAAAAAGTGTCCAAATGGACAGTGTTTTTTCTATTCAGCCCCGGGGAGCAGGAAAATTGTTGCAGCAAAATACACGTGGAGCGTAATCTGGCAGGACATTTTCCTGTACAAGATCTCTGGGAATGAATGGGAACTGTACAAGCGCGCTGTTACCCTTTCATGCAGTTCAACAAGCCTTGTGCCAGAAAAAGCTCCTGTGTGAGTTTATATTTTGGCTTGTTAAGTGCCCTCCTCCATTGGACAATCGAATAATCCCACTATATTTCAGTAAGACAACTCAAGATAAATGCATGCACCTTGGTTCTCAAACTTAATCCGTTCCAGAAGTCCGTTCCAAAACCTAAGTGTTCCAAAAACAAGGCATGCTTTCCCATAGAAAGTAATGCAAAACAGATTAATCCATTCCAGACTTTTAAAAACAACCCCTAAAACAGCAATTCAACATAAATTTTACTATCTAACGATACCATTGATCCATAAAATGTAAGCAATAATCAATGTACTGTATTATATAATTAAGATAGTGTTGTAGATGATAACAATTAAAATTATTATTATTTTTTTACCTGCACTGATGATAGTCATTGTTTGGATGGGGGCTTTTATCCATTTCTGCAGTCACACAATCAATCAATCAATCAATCAATCAATCAATCAGTGGCTGAACTGGGTTCCACACTGTCACAAAAACAAATGAACCAAAAAAGCCTCAAAAACAAAAATGCAAAATAAAGAGCAAAAACAAAAGCAGCAAATACAGTGGTACCTTGGTTCTCGAACGAGGCCTTTGAGCCATAAAATGAATCACAAAAACAAATTAACAGGAAAAGCCACAAAAACGCAAAATAAAGAGCAAAAACAAAAGTGCCAAACTTAATCTGTTCCGGAAGTCCGTTTGACTTCCAAAATGTTCAAAAACCAAGGCGCAGCTTCTGAGTGGTGCAGGCGCCCCAGAAAGAATATCCGACAGCTGCATTGAAGTGGTGCAGGCGCCGCACATTTTCGAACATTCCGAAAAACGTTTGAAAACTGGAACACTTCCGGGGTTTCGGCGTTTGGGAACCAAGGTACCACTGTAGTTTTATATGGCTTAGACTGTATGTGCCAAAGGTGGATTCCAATATGTTCAGAGGAACAGGAGAATCTGGAGCCTAGACAGAACTCTTGCTTGGTTGAATTAAAGCAGGTTAAACTGCTTTCTGAATCACCAAAACCCACCAAGGCTTTGCAGGTGTCTAAATTCTTAAGGATGACTCATGCACCTGCAAGTCATTTCAACTCGTAATGCAGAGCCTAGGAGATAATGGATAGCTCAGTTGGTAGAGCATAAGACTCTTAATATCAGGGTCAAGAGTTTGAGACCCACACTGGGTAACTGATCTGTTGAAAACACAACTTGGAAAATGCACATATTTGGAGACAATACAGAGCCTATAGCTCCTACCCAGGGCAACAGAGCGATTTGTGAGCAACGTGATGAGATTACAGGAAACATGGCTTGCAGGTTGTAACAGGGCAACAAGCCATGCTCCTGCACAACCTCTTGTGCGTTGCACTTGGGCCTGCATGAGTGAAGCAGCCATGATCATCCCGCAAGTATCCAACTGACTGCAGGTGGTAGACGCTGCATTTATTCTAGGGTGTTCAAACTATGGAAACTTGAATGAACTTCTGGGATTAGGAAAAGAACTTAGGTATTTGCCCTTAGAAACGGAGCCGAGCCGAGCAAATGTCCTGATCCATTGACCTACCTGGTAGACAAACAAAGTTACAAGTCCAGAGGCCAATCTAC